GTGATTGGAATGAAATAATGCCAGAACAATGACTCATGCAGAGAGAGAGCTGACACCCTCCTCCCTGGGTGGAGTCTTTAACCTCATGCAGGCCCTTTAATTCATAGCACACCAAGTGTGTCCAGCTCACATCTTTTACTGGTCTCAGATACTCATTTTCAAAAAAGTGATGCAAAGAAAGTATTGTTAGCAGTTATTACTTAGACCATGTTTTTCTACTACAATTGAGTCAACAGTAAATACCGGGACACTTGTGGAACCATTGTAGATTATTGAATTTACTGTATGTTAAAGATGAATTCTGTGTCATCTTTGGGAGGGATGAGTTGTGGTGAGGAAAGAGAGTGTTGGTTTGTGCGTTTGTTTTTTAAAGGGGCCATGACAGTGAGGCTGTTTGTTTTTGACAAAAGTTGTTTGTGATTTCAGGTACTCATGGGAAATCTCTTGATCAGATTCACATCTGTTCCTGTCAAAGTGGGTGCTAAGATACCGGTCACCCAGCAACCATGTCCAAGAGGGAATTGGGCCGATAATAACTTCAAAAAGGAATGACAGATGCTAGATTAGGATGAAAGACAAAACGCATGAAAAATGAGCTTGTTAGAATAAAAAATTTGTTCAAGCACCTTCATGCAAATTAAATGAATATTGAACATTTGCATGCAGTAATTCCTACTTTTTTGTTGATTGAGAAGAAATAGATATGGTGCGTCTCCAAGACTCTAACATGTAATTTTTAGTACCAATTATCATACAAAGCTGTACCTTTCTGAAATACCCTCCAGATTAGTCACTTGAATGCTTAACTGTATTCCACATGCAATCCCATTATTTTGTAATGTGCATAAATCTTTTAAAGATATGTTTTATTTATTTTAATAGTAAAACAAACAAGCAGTCCTATTTTAATTAAAATATTTAGGGTTTAGGATGCTTTGGCTCATTGGTTCTTCGATGTTGCTAACATTTGAAAAAGATCACAGAAGCTAAGATCGAATGCCATAGTTTCCTAATGAATGGTCAAATAGCATTCCATTGGAATATTTTTTTATTTGAGTAAAATGAAAATATAGTCACTTCTTCATCTTGTGGGTATTAGGATAGATGGTTTTAAGCTAGCGGTTTTATTATTGAAACATTCATATGACAACCAGAATTTAGAAAAGGGCTGATAAAATGTCCTGATTGAGAGAGTATTCTGTGTCTTGGTTTAGCAGTGTCTAATGTGGTCACGTACAGAAATTGATTTTCTTCAGAAATTAATTAATTTTTCATATCGCCCTAAGCTGCAGTTAAAAAGAGTGCATACTTGTCTGTTTTTTCCAGAAATATTGCCTAATCATATTAATACCATTGCCCCAAGGATGAAAAGATAATTGTACAAATGCATTTGGAAATATGTATCACTGAGTATTTATGATTAAATTATGCAAATGACCCAGCTCTCATCCTTTCCAGACCCAGATTGTCTAATTAGGATTGATATGCTGAATAGATGTTCCAGAATTTGAATACAAGCATGTCCAAAGAGCAGAAAATTGGAAATGACAAGGCTGAAATGTTGAGGAAAGTGTCTTTTCCTTTTATACTTTACTAATGTGGTGTTAGCAGTTGCCGTTTTTCCTTTGGCTATATTGTGTGACTCATCTGTCCTACAAGAAAGAAAGAAGCCAGAAAGAAAATGCAACTTTCTCAAATAACTCTTCATTTTTTAAATAATACAGCATTCTGTCCTAGTTATTCTTCTCTTCCTCCTCCTGATGTTGGAACACGTTTACACATATTAGAATTTTGTTGCTCTGTACAGAAATATAGGCTTTCTGTTGCCTTTTCAGTGTTTCCTACCTGCTTATATTTATATTTCATTACTGCTTCTAATGTGGAAGTGATGGCTACAGTTCCAGTATTGATTTCTTAAGAGACTTTACTCTTCAAATTGTTAATATTATTTGGACTAGCTATGTCATCTTGCAATTTCATCTTGCAATTCCATTTTGCAACTTCCCCCTTTGTGCAAAAAAACAAAAAAACAAAAAAACTGTCAGTAGTTTTTTAATAGTAGACGATTTCTGGCAACCTGCACAATATTGAAATCCTAAACAGTGACTTGTATTTATTTGCAAATGCTTTTGTTATTCTTATGAAGCGCCACATCAGGGAAGGCTAGGGTGTAGCAATGAGTGAGCTGATAGTATTTCAGCCATCGTTAGCAGCAGGAGTCACTCTGTCTGAACTCTGTAGGTTTTGTTCGCCCATCTGCAGGATGATGGATTGCTATGTTTAATACATTTCAGCTTTTGTCTGTCTTAGTGTGGATAGACAGCATTATCAATGATTTCAGTGGTGATTAGCGATCCGTCGCTGCCTTTTCCAATTGGCCAGATAGTCCCCAGGAGTGTTTCATGCAATAACTTACCATGCAATTGTGTAGTTCAGCTTAAAACATGGATGGCTAATTCCGTTTTTAAAAAGGCAAACAATATTTTAAATCCATCAAGAGCAATTCACACCGCAGCTGGCACCTCAAAGCAAAACTGCACAAGGTGAAATTATGGAATGCTCATGGATCTTATCTAAATATTTATCTTGTTTCACAGTAAAAGATGAAATTCTGCGTCACTTCTTAAAGAAGCCATGATATATTTTTGTGAATGCATTGCATAGGGTGTAATGTCATCATTTATGCTCCTGTCTGTATTGGAACATTTTAGCTACTGGTGATGTAGCTGAAGTGCAATGCAAGGGTTGTATTAAAGCAATAAAATAGAACATGACATGTGTCATCAGAAGATTTGCTAAGCCCCTGAGTGTATTGTGATTCAGAACTCTAAGGGGCTGAAAGATTCTAGCCACCAGAAAAAGTTGTTATATACCAGCAACACACGCCTGGAGTGTCTTCATTATAATTTTTGAACAGTACAGTGGTTGTTTTGATTTTATATTTAAGTGCATAAAGATGATATGGAAGTTAGACATTTTATTAATTACGTGTGTTAACCACTAACACAGAGAACTGCATTCCAAAATCAGAATTTTAGATTGTAGTTTACAGTGCAGTTGGCTTTCAAGAATGGCCTGATGACCCAGTTTGGCCTCCTGTGGGGTGCTTGTCTGCTGTTACAGAGCTGGTTGCTGATCACTCTGATTGTATTTGAATGGTGTGGGGATGGAAAACTTAAATATTGGGAGATATTGAGTGTTTTGTGTGAAGGAAATGGGAAAAAACCTCAAAGCTTAGGAGTCAGGTTGAAGAGCTAATATATAGTCAGTTGGATCAATTGCTTGTATCTATGCTGCTGTTATCCACTCTTCAGCTTATTTTTATTTGTTTATTGGGGGGCAGCTGTTGCCTTTAAATATGTCTTCACTTGTGGATGTGGCGTTTTTTCAGCTTTCCCAGCTATGACCATGTGTGCTAATCTGTGACTGAAAATCTCAGGATGGCCTTCTTGCTCCTTCATAGAAGACCTAGGCAGTGACAATCTTCATAAGTAAGAGAAGAGTAATTAAATACCAACTGAGGACATGGGGGCAGGAGAGAGCTGGCAGTGTGTCTGGAAGAGTGTTTTATCCCCCTCCCCCTTTTTAATCTGCTCCACTGTTTCAAGCTATCTTAATTTTAATGATTTTTTTAATGATATAAAGTTGCCTTCATGGTACATGGCTTCAGAGTGCTTACTTGCCATATACAAAGATCACAGGAACTTTGAACTTTCTAGAAGTCTGAAGTTTAAAAAGAGCAATCATTTTGACATGTGTTGGGTTGAAATCACGACAGACGAGTGGTAGGTGTCATATGAGAGGCAAGAGTTATTTTATTTTATTTGCAGTGCTGCATCCGGCCCAAAGAGACCAGCTGTGAGGATGGTGGACCTTGCGTTAGTTTAGACGAAATATCTGTGCAAAAGAACTTGAGTTTCTTACAGATAAAATGTATAAACCTAAAAAGAGATTCAACTGTGCTGCCTACAGTGAAAGAAAGCAATCCTTAGGCAACTGGATTTTTGTCACTGACATCAGAAATCTTACGCAGGGTAAAATTCAGGCCTTATATTTGAAGTAGTAATCTTATTTGACCACACTGCCACAAACAATGCAAACAGCATGGCTGATACTTCCAAGTATATGTTTTTAATCAAGATTAATGGAAGATTTAAAAGTTTGAATGCTCCCCCCCCCCCCCAATCTTCTCCAGACTTTCTCCCTCTCAGGTCCTTATTGTGCAAACCACATTTCCTTCAGTTCTGTATGCTTTGTAGAGAAAGAGCTGTTCTGTCTTCATTTGGACTTAAAATAAGACCTAACATTTCACTATTCTGTATGGAAGTCTGCCAGGGATTGGTTGTTAGGCGCCATTGGTGACTAGGAATTGTAAACTTTGCATGAGTACATTATATTTACCACATAAATGGAAATTCTGCAAAGGTCCGCATTTTATTCTTATTTTTTATTTAATTTATTTATTAGATTTATCCTGCCCTTCATCACAAGATCTCAGGGTGGTTCACAAGATAAAAAAGCACAAGTAAACAGTTAAAAGCAATGTGTAAAAGTAGCCCAGTGCAAACTTAGTGGTGTGGTTAAAAATATTTTGTGTGCAATGACACCCAAATACTTCTTTCTGGGTTCATCTGTAGATTATATGGAGTAAACAAACAAACAAACAAACAAACATTATCTGTTCAAGAAACTTCAATAAATAATAGTTTAGTCCAAGGGAAAGGAAGTAATCATTGTATGTCTCTCTGTGTGTGACTTCTGAGCTACTAATAAATTCAGTGCTATTGCAATTCATAACACTATATAACATTTTCTTAATTTTTTTTTTGCACTGGCTCAACTTTTCATCAAGTTTCTTGTTTTAATGAGGTGCCAAAATACTAGTATTACATAATAGCAGAATGCAAGACTGTTTTAACGGCTTGCCAGAGGGCAGCTAGCCCTGTCCATGTGAAAGTAGTTTTGGGAAGCTCCTCCAGTGCAGACCTTATGGGAACCACTGTGCTAATCCTATTGGAATGTAGCAATTATCACCTACCATATAGGTGTTAAACTCTGAATTTAACAGGGATTAACACCTCACGCCCCTTTCTGGGGCCAACCACATAACTACATCTTGTTGGTTTTGTACTCACTATAGGAAATGGTGAAGAAGTGACTAGTTTCTGCTCTTTTGCTCCTTGGTGTGCATTAGTCTTGAGACCGAACATAGTCTCTAAGAGAACTGAAAGTGATCTAAGAGATGCTTTGGTCTCCTAATGTGTATACACACTCTTCTCCAACTGTCAAACAGGTGTTGCAGAAGTTTAAAGGTAAAGTGACCCCTGACCATTAGGTCCAGTTGTGACCGACTCCGGGGTTGTGGCACTCATCTCGCTTTATTGGCCGAGGGAGCCGGCATACAGCTTCCGGGTCATGTGGTCAGCATGACTTCTGTTGAACCAGAGCAGCGCATGGAAATGCCATTTACCTTCCCGCTGGACTTGCGCTTTGACGTGCTTTCGTACTGCTAGGTTGGCAGGAGCAGGGACTGAGCAACGGAACTCACCCCGTCACGGGGATTCGAACCGCCGACCTTCCGATCGGCAAGCCCTAGGCTCAGTGGTTTAGACCACAGCGCCATCCGCGTTGCAGAAGTTAGGACAATACAAAAAAAAGGAAAAAAGAAAAAGAAACAGTTTCCCAGAGGCAAAAAAGTGAGGTGAATGTTTTGTCTTTGAGTGAATGTTCTCTCTTTCAAAACATCTTCAGGTCTCTTATAAAACTAGTCTTTCTTAAGCTTTCTATAAGATTTGGTTTTCTTTCAGACTACCAAGAGTGTTTGCTGTTAGCCTTGATTGGCATAAGACCAAGAGGGTTTGGTGTGAACCTCTCCTGATAGAACAGGCAATTATTATGGCCTTTTAGAAGGCATGAAGACTGCCTTCCACCTTTTGAGATGCACTTTTCAAACCCTGAAAAAGCAAAAGCAAAACTGTGGTTGGTTTTCAAAGTCTCTTCTCACACCTTGGTCTGCTACTCTCCCCAACTTAGTGTTCCTGTACTTTGAGCTTTTGTTCTTGGAATGAAACCAGTTTCTCAAGAAGTTCTTTCTGGTTGCAAAAAATATGCAACAGATTTAGATTGTGTGTGGACTTCATAGAAAAAACAAGTACTCCGTCTCCATTGTTTCTAGAATAAAACATCATGTATATGCAGCCTCAATCCGATTAAGGATGTTTCATAAAATGGTTTTGGTTGACCTTACAACTCGTCCTATATAAAATACAATATTTTTCTGCTCAGTATTGCTAATGGTGGAGAGCAATAACCATTTTAAATTTTAAAGAAAGTAAGAGGTTAAACATTCTGAAAACTTAAGGTCCCTGTTAGAATGAGTATTCTCAATATTTAATGAATTGCTAAAATATTAATTCATTTAGTGCATCTTTGGTGTTAATGGTTTGTAGATTTTTATGGGGCGTTTTCAGCTGCACTGGTTAACAGCTTAATTTTCTATATTAAGATGAGAATATTATATACCATTAAATGTCCACTGTGGAAAAGAAAGTGCTTTCTATTGTTGAAAGTGACATTCATCTAGTATTTATAGTGCATGCATAGAATCTAGTATTTATGTAGATAGATATTCAACAATGGGCTTGAAGCCAACTGTCATGGAAAGATTTAGAGATTTGGTTCAGAGGGGCAGAAGCATGCTACTGTTCTAAGATAACTGTGGTGTTGTTTTTTGGCTTGCAGAGCTTAACATTTTGGGATTTATTTATTTATTGGAGATTTTATTTAATCAACCTTCTTGCAGATAAGGCATTTGTGTTTATAGAGATACATCTTACTAAAAATGGGGCTAAAAAAATAAATGGAATTTAATTTGAGATGCCAAGTTGCCTTTATTATTGAATTGTTTGTGGTCTTGGCAGTATAATGGATCCTATTCCAAAGAACAGCAGCTCCTCTTTTGTCAGCAGGATTTATGATGATGTCTTGCCGTTTTTGTAAATTATGTAACACTCACTGTTCCTCCTTTGTTATACAGTGAAAATTAGTAGGTTGTTTTAATTATTTGATGGATTCTCATTCTCATTCATTCTTCTCTCTAGCTGGTATTTGTTTTCATAATAATATGATTTCTGCCATTCTTTAGGAGAGCGAAAAGTCTCTCTGGATTTTCTTTAATGTGTTTTTCAGCTTTTTAAAAAATGAAATAGAAATATATCCCTTAAAATTTCCCCCCGGTATTGAAAATATCTATCTATCTATCTATCTATCTATCTATCTATCTATCTATCTATCCAAACATTTCTTAATGTGATCCTTAGTCATTGGCTGTGGACCGTTTATTGAGGGCCCATTCACACATTTAATAATGGCAAATTCTCGCTTTGATTGTTGCCGTATGATCAGTTGTTTGAAAAACTTTTTAAAACATACTCATTTTTTTAACGTTTTAGGTGTATGTGTTTGGTTAACTTGAAAAGTGCAACTTGTGAAAAGGCCCTCAGACTACACTTTAAGGGGAGGGGAGTAAACACAACTTGTATACTCAACAAGCACAAATAGAAGACTCATACTTTCACAATTGTGAGACTCCAGAAGTATTATGTTTCCCTTATTACAGAGGGGGGCAACCTGTGCCCCTCATCCTATTTTCAAAAGCCATCTTCAAACAATACCTTCAGACAAACTGGCAGGAGCAATTTCTTCCTTCTGCAGTTTATGTCTCCTGGAGCCATGGGGTGGAGCCGAACACCCTCTGAAAATTGAGGGGGCCCGGCCCCCTCAAAAAATACATTCAGGGGAGCCAAATCTGTCTCGGCCCCTAGGAGTTGGCTCCTATGTACCACCCTTTTGGATTGCTTAAGTTTTAATAATAATCATCATCATAATCATCATCATCATCATACATTATTTATACCCCGCCCACTCTGGGCAGCTTCCAGCAGAATATTAAAATACAATGATTCATCAGATGTTAAAAGCTTCCCTAAACAGGGCTGCCTTCAGATCTCTTCTAAAAGTCAGCGTAAAATTTACGCTGGATTGCCAGGACACATGACCAAGCTGAATGGTCAAAGGATCCAGCCTTAGTCGTCCGCATCCCGGAACAGCCCTTTTTCAGGACTTAGGCTAGGATAAGGGCTGCCAAGCTGGGCTCAGCCAGCTGGGTCCTGGCTGAACCAGAATAGGGGATACAGCCAATGTTTCTCTTGCTGAGTGAAAGATGATGGAGTTAAGCTGGTGAAGCCCAGCTATGCCAGAAACCTCCTGGTTATGCTGAAGATCTACTGGATCCTCACCCCCTCATCCGGGTAGATCTTTCTTGGATTGTTCCCATAGAAATTGCAACGTAATAGTTCTACAGTGCTGTGGCATTCAGTTTTGGTTACACAATATTTTCTGAATCTTGTGGTAAAATCAAGACACATAGGTTGAAAAATGAAATTATAGGTCTGAATGCTTACTTATGGTTGAATGCATAGGTGTGCATTCTGAGTTTCCTAAATTTCCCTAAATGCTGCCTCAAGGCAACCAGAAGCAAACGTCATTGAGTTCAGTGGGACTTACCGTACTTCCAGGTAAATGTGCATAGGACTGCAGTCTGAAACCTTTACATCAACTTAGTTTGAATTGCAGATCTTCATAAATCTATATTGCTCAAAGCCAGGATATTCATTGAATAACTTGAAATCATTAGACTGGTGATGAATGTGAAGTATGTTCTGTAGGATTTTGTTTTATTGTCTGGTATTCCAAGAGTATATAAGTCCATATAATGATAACTGCCCTGTCCTTTGGCTGCAGTGTCTATTATATTGTTTAATTTTCCTTTATTAATTGATGGTACATTATATACTCAGGCATAACCATCCTAATCTTGCCTTTAATGAGTTGCTAATAACAGGAACCTAGGAAGAATTGATGCTTTTGAATTATGGTGCTGGAGGAGACTCTTGAGAGTCCCATGGACTGCAAGAAGATCAAACCTCTCCATTCTGAAGGAAATCAGCCGAGTGCTCATTGGAAGGACAGATCCTGAAGCTGAGACTCCAATATTTGGCCACCTCATGAGAAGAGAAGGCTCCCTGGAAAAGACCCTGATGTTGGGAAAGATGGAGGGCACAAGGAGAAGGGGACGACAGAGGATGAGATGGTTGGACAGTGTTCTCGAAGCTACCAACATGAGTTTGACCAAACTGCGGGAGGCAGTGGAAGACAGGAGTGCCTGGTGTGCTCTGGTCCATGGGGTCATGAAGAGTCGGACACGACTAAACAACTAAACGACTAAACAACGGAACAGAAATAAGACTGAATGCAAGGCATATTCACAAAAGTGTGTGTGTGCCTTCCTCTTCCTCTTCCAATTGCAGTGTATCCCATTTCACATTCCATTTCATTACAGAGAGTTCCTTCCATGGGGAATTGGGGGGGGGGTGACTCCAAAAATTTGAAACTTACTGAAGTTGTGAGGGCAGTTTTTCAAAGTTTATTGTGTGGAGGGCATATGCTTCCTCACCAGCTACTGCAGAGCCCTCCATCTCTTGCTCTCTTAAAAAACGCACTTCAACTTGCTGACCTTAAGAACCTGGCAGGATTTGGGTGACTGGTGATAGCAGAATTATATATTTTTTAAAAGAGAGTAAAAACACAACTGAATAGCTGTAGACTGATCATCATTGGCCGGGACAGCTGAATGGTGATGTCATACTCCTGTCAAGCCAATGTTTGTAGTTTCTACTGTTTCTGGGCAAAGTTTACAGTACATTTTCTTGAAAACAATTCTTGTTCCTTTGCCTGTCAGTGCTGTTATGGGGCTGATACTAAAATCGGAGAGTTGGAAGAAACAAACTTTGCAAATATGTGGGGAAATTGCTGGGACACTGAAAGTTTTCTGTGTACAGTATCTGTTTAACAAATGGTGTGCCTCTTTAGTTTACACTCGCTGAGGAACTGCAGGAATTATGGCACCAAAATTTGCTACAGTCCTGTAAAAATAATGGCGATGGCCAGACTTTTACAGACCAAAGGAAAGGGGAATAAACCTTCCCTGCAGTTGACTACCACATGTTCTGCATTTATTA